GGGGGAGGGGAATGGGGCGTTAGGCTGGGGAACAATAGGTCTTGGGGCTTCTAACACCCCTTTGGGGCATCATCGTCGCCCCGGTGCCATTTGCCCTTACTTAGTAAGCCACAGGTGGTAGTTCATGCGTACATTTAATTTTGAAGGTTTATGTTCCTAAAAGTTTTATTCATTTTGACATTTTAATAGTATCATATAGTGACATTTTGATATCGTAATACTCTGACTATGCAAATTGGAATGTGATTTTCTAAACAAGAATAACGCAGTAACGGATATCTTCATCGTGTTCGGTGATTCAAATGCTTCTTTGTAGATGACAACTTCCATTTTCGTATAGTTAATGCACATACATATTCTGCATACAGTATATGCAGTGGAGCTTATTTTTAAAATTTTATATCAGTCACGAGTAGTCGTGCACTTTAAGACAGGTAAACATGATACTAAACGTGAATTTCTACAAACGGGTTTATCGGTTTCCTGGCGATCTATCTTTATATAGCGAATTGAATTCGTAAACATGTTGTCGACTGTTTACTTGACCCATTTTTGTACTGCATAACTATTTTTGGAAGGTGTGTCTATTGTATTGATTTCCTTTGTAATTATAATGCCATAAATTTAACCTATCTACAATAATTAATAGGGTGCCACATTGGGTGTTCATGATTTTCCAAAGGATACATAATTTACGATTATGCACCTACATAATTAAATAAAATGAGCCAGTGTTAATCCTTAGGAGATTTCTAAAATGTATTTTATAAATGATATTATAGCCTACCTGGTTTACCTGTATGGAGAGCACGGCTACGGACGGACGATTTACCTCTGGAAATGGATTACCTGGATTGTCTTACGTTCCTAACTGTACCATCATACTGGCTACATATATCCGAATAGGAAAGTCACAAACAAATGAGATGTACAGTTAGTTGTACACTGTTTGATACTACTTTTAATGGCTTAAGTTAAGCCACAACGAAACAAGTAAGTAACCGTGAGATGGCGGTGTCCTTAACTTTGCAAATCTTATCTTGATAATGGTTAGTACAAGACCCACCAACGAAAATATTTAATTTCTTTTGTTGGTATAAGATTGACCTGAGTGGTTTTTGCAGGCTATATGTAACAGATGGACACAATTACACCCATGTAAGAGCCAAAACTCCAATAAGAGACTGCCCATTTTAATTTTGAAACGTGGATAGGAGTTGTGTGTGTGTGTATGTCTGAGTGTGAGTGTGTGTGTGTGTGTGTGTGTGTGTGTGGGTGTGAGAGAGAGAGAGAGAGAGAGAGAGAGAGAGAGAGAGAGAGAGAGAGAGAGAGAGAGAGAGAGAGATCTTGTTTACAAGAAAAGTCCTAGAACTTTCCCGAAATTAGAAAATTAGAATGCGATGGCTCTTTATATATATATATATATATATATATATATATATATATATATATATATATATATATATATATATATATATATATATATATATATATATATATATATATATATTGCTTAAACTGAAAAGGTCGAGCTTTTTGATCCATTAATACATTAATCGTATTTAATTCATATCTATTGTTTATAAACAGAGCAATCGTGCATGCTCTTTGGCACGAAATTATTGACTGACAGTGACGAAACTAGATATCTATCGAAACGTATACCTGCTGACGATTACATAATGGAACGCACTGTAACATGTAAACATGTTGACTTTTTTAAGAGAGCCCGCAGAAATATTTCGGGGGTGGGGGACATGTAGTGATCAGCTATATAGGTTTCAGAGTATTAAGTCAAAACATGTTAGAGGTGGGGAGGGCACTTTCCCACCTCTTCCACCTTTGCTCTATGTGCGGACGCCAATGTATTCTATTTACTTTGAATAACCACGTATCTACGATCGTAAAGCAAGCGGCACCATAACTAAATGCCTTGCAGGCATCAATGCACTCGTTTTGTTAACTAGATCGTTATTTTCTTATCGAAATGCTGTACATTTACTTATAATTTCAGGGCCCCCGAGTAGCCAAATGGTCTAGAGCGCTCACCGTTACGGATCACTGCCATCTCTTCTCTTGTCTGCATGGGTTCGAGTATCGGGTTAGGCCAATTTGGGTTTGTGTTAGGCCAATTCAGGTTTGTGAGAAAGCTTGCCAGTTTCTTGTGGGTCCGTTGTGCTTTCCGGGCTTTTCCAGGGTTTTTCCTCCGCTACTGATACTGGCCGTCATGTATAGCCTATTGTGTGCTGAACATGGCGTTAAACCCTATAACAAGAACAACATCGTATAACTTCTAACACCTGTAGGTACATAGCCCAGAGTTTTATGGTATTGCTGGTCTTAAAATAAGGATAGGCAAGTAAGTAATGGAAGACGGACCTTAAAGAATTTATATATGCCTATTTGTTATTCTTTACTCTTTATTAAAAGACATTTAATTTCCAGTTAAAATTTTATCATTGCGAACGACCGATAAACAGAAACCATGCAGAGTGCAGGTGTGATTTAGATTTTTAACGTAGCTTTAACAATTTTTCAGTCATATCGCTACATCTGCAGTGTGACAGTTTATTGTGATGTCTAGCACTGGAGCATCATGCCGCAGACATGTAGCATGATGTCCCATCCAGTTACATTATCCTGACACCAGGCCGACCAATCTTAACAATAACCTCTTAATGCTGAGCGCCAAGCGAGGCAGCTGTTAGTACAATTTTTTTTAATTCTATGGTATGACTAATTAAAGGGTTTGAATCCGCGACCTCCACATCTGAGGCAGATGCTCTAACCACTAGGCCACCGGAGCGGTATTATTCAATAATGTACGACTTGGCTGCGAGTGAATAGCGTACAGCTGTCGTAAATATCACTCTACTTCTAACATAAATGCACATGTCAGAACCCACTTAATTTCGCTTAGATATAATCTAATAGAATGAATACCAGCTGCATAAAGTCGCTGTTTTCTCATATTACAGAATATAGGATTAATACTGTTACGTTAAAAAAAGGTGTAAATAATTGAGTCTCGAATTAATTGCACTGACTTATAAATAAGTCTGACAGAGAATACAACTTTGCTGTAAACAGATGTTGTTGATTGCTCAAAAGAAACCAAAGCTAAATGCACTTTAGCTTTTTATAACTTCTAACCGTTGCTAATTTGCACAAAGAGAGATTGTTTTCATAACAGTCCGTTTTACCACAGATCTCATGACCAATTTTCTTTCAGAATTATCCAATGTAACCATTTAATTTTCTTTTTCATTTTTTTAAAAATATCCCTTCTACGTCTTTGAATCATTATATGTACGTACATATATGCTTGTTATTGATTTCTGTAATAAAATCAAGGTCCCAAGGCTTTGTCGGTAAGAGTTTTGTATAGGCGTAGGAGATGAACCATATCAAGCCTTGGCGTAAACGTTTTATTCCTATATTTACTTCTTGATATCTTCCTCACATGATACGCGAGGCAAACTAGAAGACAAACCAAGCAAATAAAAACCTAAGCCAATACAGATTAATTTGTTTTAGGATGTAGAACCTTATGATGAATGTTGCCCAGTAGGGACGGGGTGGGGATGGGGTGAGGGTGGTAATGAGAAACCAAATGCGTAAACATATTCATAGTATTTGAAATAGTCTGTTGTAATTAAAATAGTTATAAGCAGGGATTCTTGAAGTCTGGGTAGAGGGTTGGTTGTGTTATAAACTGTCGGTATATCTTAAAACACTGTTGGTTCCAAACGACCTATTCCCCCCCCCCCTTCATCCACTCTCTTTTACCGTTGTTTGAAGCTTGAAGACACTCCTATCGTTTCAGCTACACTCGCCGTTCAAGTTTTTTGGCGTACGTTGACATATATATTTATTAACGTAGATCTCTGCTCTTTCAGGTTCATCATAAGGCCAGAAACTTACCTCACCCTTAATTCTTTTTTGGCATGATAAACAGAAACTAATTAATGACACGGCTGGACAAAGCTTACTAAAATATCTGGTAGGTTGATAAATCGGACCCACACATACATTGATACTAACTGTTGGTTAAGAGACATAAATCTGAAGATAATTATGTCGCACGCGTCAGTGTACATTTTATACATTTACTGGTATGAGATACCGTCGGCTTAGGGATCATCCATAAAGGATGTCCGCAAAGATGGGGTGGTAGAGGGGATGTTGTTGAAATGCGGACAACTGTGGATGATGAGGGGGTAAAGGACCTCGCGGACGTCCGGAAGCTAGTATTTTTGTTATGATATGCTGTGTTGAACAGCTGCTTTAGACCTACTGCGTGTATTCCAGTATATTGCGGACGTTCTTTATGGGAGATCCCTATGTACAAATTATTTGTTAATTTATATATATATATATATATATATATATATATATATATATATATATATATATATATATATATATATATATATATATATATATATATATGAGAGAACCATAGATCAATGTGTATACTGCTGATGGGGCGTCGTCAGTAGCTATAGGGTGGCGGAGGTAAGCAACATGCGAACAAAAGCGGACAAGGAGAGAGGGTTTTTTTTTTTTTAGGAAAATAGGTATTATCTACGGAGGTCCTTCATGGACAACACGTTATGGGTTCTTTTCGCGATACTATATAATATTTCCAGATCAGATTCTATGTTAGTTAACGTGTAAATCCACGAGGAATAGCACAACCTTCCGTCCTGTGGCCAGTTTGAATGTCGCGCTAGATATGGCTATTACCAAATACTAAACTGTACTGTTCCGGAAAGTGTGTCTTGGATTTTTAACCAAGCTTAAAGCATTTTTCAGCCATATCGCTGCGATGTCTGCAGTGTGGCAGTTTATAGTGATATATAGCACCGAGGCATGATGCCACAGACATGTAATATCATGTTCCACCCAATCACATTATTCTGACCAGTAACACTAACCTCTTAATGCTGAGAGCCAAGCGAGACATATGTAAATACCATTTCTACAAGTCTTTGGTATGACTCGGCTGGGGTTTGAACCCACGACCTCCCGCATCCGAGGCAGACGCTCTAACCACGTATGCCACCGAATTGGTGTGCTCTGGAAAGATCTATATGCAGCAAATTGCATATTTTAATGAACGGTGACTTCATACCCATATATCGTACATCAGCATCAACACAGATCTGAGGGATTGATTTATCGGACTGGGGTTTCTCGTTTAAACATGGTACAAACATTTGGTTGTCATCGAGGTTAGGAAATGTATATAAAGGTGAATGCATAAAAATTTAAATGTCAATTTCTTTACACTGTTTTTTATTTGCTATTTTTCTCGACATTCAGCTTGATTTTATCTCGTCACTAATGAAGCCAGAAAATATATTTTAAGCTATGCCGTAAGAACTTATTCGTTCTTTTTGCTTAAGGAGCAATTAAGGTGTACAGTGAGCAACATTCTTTAGAGAATTTGAAGTGGTACTAATGAAAGCTTGATAGAGCTTAGTTGGCAACATCTGATTATCAGTCGGGATAGGGTGGGGTCCAATGGCTGAAAATGGCGTTAAACCCCAAAACAACAAAAACAGCAACATCCTATTAGGTGTGCCATGGATCTATGCAGTACACTGTGCGTTTTGACCCGGATGACCGATTTTGCATGGCTACGTGAGACATTCCTTGATGACTGGACGTATATCTAGATGTAATGGGTGTTCAAATATAGATATGTCAAGGGTCACGGGAAGTGTCATGGTGCAACTAAGAGCTACGATTAATTTCATTCACAAAAGGTCAGACTTCAGTAGCATGTGTCCAGCCAATATTAAATTCGAAAAATAGTATATTGGCAAAAGTATTTAGTTAGTTGCCACCAGAAAAAGCACTTTAACATTTTATTTATGACACTAACCGAAAAAAGACGAAGTTCAATTGATTCACATTTATACTTGTTTATAAGTCGAGTCCAACTGAAAGCAGCGCAGACACAGCTGTGCCGTCGAATAATGTGCGGGCAAATCTGAGTCAATTTAGTTTGTAAAGGGGCAATCGGTAGGACAAACAAAATAGACCCTGATCTTTTGAAAAATTATGCGACATTAGATCAAGGTCTGTGATGTTTGCAGTTTAACTAGATTTATAAGCAATTATACATGGTAGGTATTTTTTTGTGCTTAACGGCACAGCAACACAAGAAGTCTGTTTAGTACCAAAGCAACTGGAGTAAAGTGACAAGTCCAAGGACACACCACGGTAGGAAAATCAGGCTAGTCCTATGGCAGGATTTGAGTCCGCCATGCTTATTATTGAGACAGCGGCTTCGCATCTTGAGTCGAATGTAAATACGTATTTCATATACCCAATTTTTCAACCATTCCCGTAATGTTCCAGTTCTATCTATCTATCTATCTATCTATCTATCTATCTATCTATCTATCTATCTATCTATCTATCTATCTATCTATCTACCTACCTACCTACCTACCTACCTACCTACCTACCTACCTACCTACCTACCTATCTATCTATCTATCTATCTATCTATCTATCTATCTATCTATCTATCTATCTATCTATCTATCTATCTATCTGATGTATGTGTGACAACAAATGAATCTTTCAGGTATAATAATAGTTACGAATGGTGTTACATGTGCCACAATCGGGCTATTAAATATAGGGCTAGGGCTACTAAATGAACAAGTAAAAACGTGAGAAAGTCTTTTATTTGTGTTTCTGTAATTTATCACTTTGAGCCAGACCTGAGTATTTCTGTGTATTTACCTTTGTAATAAGATGTTTTTCACTCAAATTTTCATTCCTGCCCGTAAATGAACCAACGCATTACAAAATAAAAGAGCTATTTCCGGATCCACAGACAAAAGACTTTTGTTGTTGTTGTTGGGCTTAACGCCATTTTTTTTCAGCACACGATAGGCTGGCTATTCATGGCGACAAGTATTAATGGTGGAGGAAAAAACTGGGAAATCACCGGAAAGAACCACCGACCTACGAGAAGTTACTGGCAAGCTTTCTCATATATCCACATTCGCCGAATCCTAGACTCGAACTCACGCATACAGAGGTGAGATGGCAGTGATCCGTAACGGACAGCTCTTTAGACCTCTCGGCCACTCGTCCCCCCCTAAGACTTTAAATTTGTGGTGTTTACTTAGTCTTTATTATACAAAATACCTTTTATACAATATACCTTAATTGCGTAGAGATGAATTGGTTCGATATATATTTTTTTGTATTAAAGAGGTTTGACTAGACAGATGAACCCCAATCAACGAAATAGTAATACCTAACTTTCAGTTCCCCTCCCCATTCTATGAAGGAATAGGTAAGGAAGGGGAGGCGTTGTTTTATATTTAAAAACAGGTTGTGGGACACATTTTAAGTTCCGGCAACCATATTGAAACGACCCCTCACTTGGCCGAGTTTCATAATACATGCATTAATAAAGGTTATGAACGTTTTGTGCTAATGACCTCGATTTACCCTGACATTTCACTTCTGTCAGCGTGGGTTTAAGTCTCGGGCTCAACCGTTTTGGGTATGTGAGAAAACTTGTCAGTGGCTTTTCGTGTGTCAGTGGTTTGTTAGCAGCGTTTTTCGAGGGTTCTTTCCCACAAAATACACTGCCCACAAAGTATAGTCCAATTATTAGCTGAAAAATCGTTTAAATGGCGTTAACCCACAACAGCAAGAAAGTGACACATTACTCGTACTTTATGCAATGTTTAGAATGATTTCAGAAAAAATATGAATGAAAAAAAAAATAGAAATCAATTGCGCATTCGATGATTTATTTATTGATTTGAAGATAACGGTCTTTCAATTATGGCATTGCTTACAGCCCTAATTATTGTGAATATATTAATGGAGCTTAACTTCAAAATTTGTATGTCGTCAGTCATTAATTCTATCATTTGACTTTAATTCGCGATAAAGGACTTTTCAGTTAGTTAGTCTTTATGACAAAAAAAATAAATTATTTATCTTTACAAACAGCGCTGAAATAAATCAATTCAAAGTTACTAGGATTATTTCAGTTAAAAATACCATCTCTAAAATTGTATAGAACCATTCCAGAATACGACAATTATCTTATATGTATGCATGTTATGTATGTATTTTGATGTTGAGCTTAACGCCATTTCTCAGCACACGATAGGCTATTCATGGCGGCCAGTATTAATGGTAGAGGAAGAAACCGGGGAATCACCGGAATCACCAAGAGAAGCTACTGGGAAGCTTTTTCACATATCCACATTCGCCGCATCCTAGACTCGAACCCACGCAGACATAGGTGAGATGGCAGTGATCCGTAACGGACAGAGCTTTAGACCACTCGGCCACTCGGGGCCCCTATATATGTATGTATGTATGTATGTATGTATGTATGTATGTATGTATGTATGTATGTATGTATGTATGTATGTATGTATGTATGTATGTATGTATGTATGTATGTATGTATGTATGTATGTATGTATGTATGTATGTATGTATGTATGTATGTATGTATGTATGTATGTATGCATGCATGCATGCATGCATGCATGTATGTATGTATGTATGTATGCATGCATCCTCAGTAAATTTACCTTCGAACTAAGGACTCACACGAATCTTACCTTTTGCTTGCGTATGTTATATTTATGCTATAAATAAAATCAAACTTAAATTTTAAATGATATCAGCGAAAGGATGTGTATTATGATGATTACAATTGCATCAGGTTCAATATTAATAATGTTTCTGTTTTATGCCAATGAGCCAAAACCATTCTGAGCTGACGAAACTTTATGAAATATTTTTTGTGTGTATTTACTCGTAGCAATAGCAAAACTTTCGCTATCCGACCACGAGATGATGACGACGTGAATAGGCTGTGTTGCGTATTTCTTAATGTAACTGAATTATGAGCACACGGCTTAGGAACCGAGGATTTTATTTCTGGGATAAGTGGAAGGCGGAGGGGGGATTACGAGTAACGTTGTAACGACACTGGTAGTTTTGACCATAGTAGTATGATAATAGGGGTTTAAGAATTTTGTCATTGATCTAGCTCAAAGCTTTCTACTCTTCATGACTTTGTCCTCACATAAGATATGCACACGCGTGAAAGTTAGATTAGCAGAGAGGCTGAGGAGACAACTTTCAAAAGACCTTATTTTTGAAAATTAAGGGTTCCTACTAAGGCTGAAAAAATGTTTTTGCTTTAACAATGAACATTTCTCTAATTGACCAAATTGTTTTCTCGATTTATTCACAATCTGATCACTACGCTTATGTCGTTCAGCCTTTCTGCTGCTATAAATTAAACAGGCAGTATAAATATTATCAATAATGAGTATTGGAGAAACATATTCAGCTAAATTAGCTCTAGAGCGACTAGAGGCAATTAAAAAATAATTACATGTTCGTGATTCTGTTAAGCAACAAATAAAATAGCGTCAGGATAATCGATTTGAATTTAAAGAGGATACAAAACATTTATTTAAACCGATCGTCGAACCAACGAAGACAATTTTTACAGCAACTGAGGCAACACAAAGAGCTCTTGCAACACTGCCTGCTGATATTACTGGCCTTATTCAAGCAGATCAACCACTACCACAAGCACCACAACCACCACCTGTTTAACCTCCTCAACCACCACCCGTTCAACCTCCTCAACCATCAAGAACCAGAACTAAGATAATAGATAAATTTACGCCTGAAGATATTGCTGCTATCAGGGACCCAAAGCAATTATTTGATATTACCGCGTTTGGATACCATTATATAAAAAAATATGTAAAACCAGAACATGTTAAATCTCTAAGCTCTTCCAATTGGATCAAGGATGTATATCGCATCGCTACTAGTATTCCAGAAATCAGATCTAATGAAGAATATAGAGATTATAGCAGATTTGGTGAAAATATAAATAAATATATAGAAGAGGTTGAAAAACGAGAACAAGATCGACAAGAAACAATGAAACTATAGCAACCACAACCATCATCACCAGAACTTAAATTACCATCACCAGAGAGACCACTACCATGACTACAACCACTACTACAGCAACAAGAGTTA